CACACACACACACACACACACACACACACACACACACACACACACACTTCATGAAAAGGGCTCTCCTTGAGATGCTCATTTAGCTCCAGGACACTCCAGTGAGGGAAAAAATGTATTCATTTCTTAGGTTGAGAAGCAGCCTAAGATTAAGATCTTTAATTTTAATAAGTATTTGCTGAATGATTAACACACTCCAGCAAATCCAGGGTAGAGTGACCTGTACTGTTGTAATCAAATCCCTGAGAGAAGAAATAAGAGATTTTGCCTGGAGAAGGACGAGATCTAGGATCCAAGGGGCACTGGTGCTTTCTCCAAATCTCTAAAGTGCTACTGCATAGAAGAGGAAGGTGTGGTCTGGATGGCTCCAGAACTAGGAACCTTCAGGAAGGGGGACTTCCTCTCATTTTAAGAAATGTTCTTATGGTCAGAACTCTCTAAAGAAGAAAGGGCCACATCAGGATATAGTGAGTTTCCTGTCACTAGCAGTAATCAAACAGAGACTATTCTAATAGTCAGGAGTACTCAGAAGAGAGTCTTGGGTAGGAGATTATCCCAGAGGACTTCTGAAATTCTGGGATTGGTTAAGTATGTATCTCTAGAGGTGGGTCTCCACAGACTTGCCTCTGCCATTCCCAGCTGTGTGGTCTTGAATAAATTGCTCAACTTCTCTGTTCCTCACTTTCCTCAGCTATAAATAATAGCACTTACCACGTAGGGATGCTGTGAATATTCAAATGCCCTAATGCTCAAAGGGCTCAGCCTCGGTGCCCAGCACATAACAAGTGCTCAGTAAATGTAGCTAGTATTTGTATTTAGTGCAAAGCCTTGTTCTCTATATGGCACCCTATTCTCAACCATCAGCATCATTGGCTGCATTTGGCTTTTAGCTCTGGATTTTTCTTGGAGCTGGGCTCACAGAGAGCCTGGGGAAACATGTTAGAAAAGCCATTGTAACTCCTGGTGTGCGTCTCATGCTGTCAACAGCAGTTTTTTGTCAGAGAGGAGCCTGGAAACTAAGAAAGTAGTTTCCATTAAGTACCACAGAGGAAGCCTAAAATGCATCTGTTTTGAAAGGTGAAAGATACAGGTGGGCCTCCCCCTTCTCCTACCCCTTCCCTGCCACCTCTTATGCTCAGATCAGCTATGCAAATATTTTCTCATGGGCAGAATCCTGTGACAGTTTTCTCATGGTAATCTTAATCACAAAGATAAGAAGTCACTCAATTTGGCTTAAATATGACTTGCCTTATGAGCTGGGTCCCAGGAGCTTCCATTCCGTATCACACAAATCCTCTTGACAATCCTAAGAGGGAAGTTCATTCCCCACTTCGCGGATGAGGAGACTAAGCCTCAGAGAGGTTAAGTAGCTTTTCCAAGGTCACACAAGCTGGAGCAGGGACCTAAACATCCAAATTCTTGCTGTTCAGCGAACTGTTACCCATAACCTCTGGAAGATTCTGGAATTAATTAAGGACATGTATATTTAATGAAGCAGTCCCCAATAACAGAACTTCTAAAACACGTTCCTGAGAAGTTTAGGAAATTCGTTTATTTCTCTGTCTAGACTTTTTGGATGGTAAGGTGTGGGTGGGGGATTTCAGAGAACAGGGCCATCACTCATCTGACTTCTCTTTATGCTGACCTCTTTGTGCCTTCCTGCAGGTCTGGGTAGATGCTGGGACACAGATCTTTTTCTCCTATGCCATCTGCCTGGGTTGCCTGACTGCTCTGGGAAGTTATAACAATTATAACAACAACTGCTACAGGTGAGCATTTTGTGGCCCTGCCAAACCCCAAACCTCCACCAGACCCCAGGAGCTCCACACTGTCAGGCTAGGTCACATTCGTCTTCCCGCCTTGCAGGGCCAGGACAAGACAGGCAGTCTGTTTCTCGGCCTCTCCCTGCCCCAGGATCAAAGAGCGGGCCACTTGAGGAGCTAGGAAAATAACGAATGTGATCAGAGTGTGTTGCAGACTGAATGTGAATCCACCCCAGGAGTCTTATTCAGGCCCCCATCCCACCCTGTGTGGCAAAGATTTATCCCAGGGCAGGTAAGTGACTTGCCCAAGGTCACATCGCTAGTAAGTGGCAAAACTGGGACTTTAACTCAGGTCTTCTGACAGTGCGGGCTTTGTTCTTCTGCCTTCTGTTCAGAACCCTGCTTCTTGCCCCTTCTCACTTGATTTTAGGATCCTCTCCTATCCCATCTGGAATGACTAGTGCCCCATCTTACCCCTCGGCCTCCCTGCCTGGCCTCCTGCATGTGCCCACACCCAGAACTGGGAAGGGAATTGCCCAGGTTGGGAGGTGAGCCTGAGGCTGTCTGACCCTGGCTGCCTGGCTTCTCATGCCTGCAGCCTGATTTCTACTGTGAGGCTGAGACCCACTGAGGGCCAGGAACCCACTCAAGGTCACCAAGTAGTGCATGGCAGAAGGGAAATTGGCACTCTGGATTCTAGCCAATGGTCTGTTTGCTGAGGTCTCTGTACCCCTGAATTCAACTCCTGGTCATAGTAGGTGGCTCTTCAGGAGACTTGTATTTAATAACCACATAATTTGGTTGCTATGTGGCTCAAGGGAGATCATGCATTTGAAAGAACTTTTGGCATGATAAAAGTCCCTCCCATGTTATCCCCATCTTTGAGATGGGGAAAGAGAGGCTCACGGAAGTAACCCCCCTCAGCTGTACACAGTAGAGCCTGGACTCTGCCTGAGGTCTCCCATTTTTCCATCCCAGGGCCCTGCCACATCTCTCTGAAAGCTAGCTTTGTGATTGCTTTATTAACCCATTCGTTAAAACCATGTGCATTGCGTGTCTGCTGAGTGCAAGACACCAGCATTGGTACCTTAGGAGATAACACACAGGAATGGCACAGCCTCGGTCTACAGATTTCGTAAGTTGGGGAAACGGAGGCACTGAGGAAGTGAAAGGGGCCAGGTCCAGCATGCTGTAAGGAAAAGCCGTTGTGGAATCCAGTGTGCCATTAGGCAGCAAGTTCTGTTGTTCCTGGGGGCCCTTGGGCAGAGAGGTATTGGGTATGGCTGGGCAGAAGGTTGCTGGAGAGGCAGAAGACCACGCCAGGTTGTCCATATGATCCTTTCTACCTTCCAGGTGTTCGTGGGGAGGTGGGTGTTGGGGGTGAGAGGCAAAGCACTCTGTCAGCCACAATGCAAAACAGTAACCACGGACAGGAAGAGAAAGGCACGGGGCAGGGAGAACAGCATGGCAGTCCTCTGGTCGGGGTTGAGTGTGAGCTGCTTGGGATGTTGAAGAATGCTGTCTGCACACAGCTGTCACCACACCAGCGTGACTGCTGACTTAGACCAGTCCTCTGTGCAGGACACTGCAGAAATCACTTGGCCACTGCCTGGCTGTCAGCTCCATGAGGACACAAGCTAGTTCTTGTTGGCCACCATCCCTTGAGCCTATTACAGTGCTGCCCAGTGTGTCAGGAAGCAGGGAAGGAGCCATCTGTTACACAGATGAGGAAACTGAGGCCCCTAAATAAGTAACTTGCTCATGTTCATTATTACCAGTGGTGGAACGTGGCTTTGAACTCAGGGCTTTCTAGTTCCTGCACCGCTATTCCTCAGCAACAGGGATGGCCAGTTCTTTCCCAACATCTGTAGCTGACAAGGATTTGGCCAAGACTGCCCTGTCTTCGGGCCATGTCCTACAACCGTCTCCCCCACGGAGCGTGTGGGTAAGATATGCTGGCCACCACAGATCTCTTCTGCTGTCCCATCCAAGAGGCAGCAGAAGAAAGAAAATCCCCCAGGGGATGTTGCAACATCTGAAGGCCCATTTTATTTCCACTTCTCTGCGAACAGGTCTTCCCAACTCAGAGGGAGTAAATTAGTACCCTCCCTTCTGACAGCCTAATAGCTTCTGGAGGTCTTCAAAGCCCAGCTCAGTTCCTGCCAACTTTAAAGCGCTTGTTACATAAGCTTTTCACCTAGAAGGTGCCCTGCAGGAAGGAATTAGAGGGATGGGAAATGCAGCAAACCAGGCGGGGAAAATCCTCACTTCAGAACACAGGCTGCTAAGCTCCTTCTGCTTAAAAGGTGTGAGTGCTCTGAGGGCCAAGGGGTGGGATGCAGGGCTGGAAGGGACCTCAAGTCTGCTTAGTGCTTCTCTGTCCTTCTGTGGTATGAGGAACTCACTCAAGAGGCCCCTGGGGACAGATGGGGAGTTTGCAATAAGGGATATTTGTTTTTCAACAACCACATGAGTGCCCACAGATAACTGTCCACAAGTCAGGATCTGAAAGTCTTAATTCTTAGGGGGCATTGTTTTTGTGTAGCTCCTGGAAAAAGCATGGGTTTTAGCATCTGAGACAAATGGACACACATCCCAACCTCATCCCAAGATGCCCCTGAGACCTTGAGTAGGTGATTCTCCTCCCTGAGCCTCAAGATTCAGTGACACAATGTTCAAGAAACCATAGCACAGGACTAGGTACATTGCAGATTCAAATTATACAGGAGATTTCCAGAATAGAGAGGATATAGATAAAGTGCTTTCCTCAGGACCCCCTTATTTCCCACTGTTTGATAAGGCAGGGTCAGGAAATAGGCATGAAGAGCAGCTTTACCCCAACCGTAGGGATAAATCTCCCCTTACCCTGACTGAGCTGCATTTCCTTTTAAGAGGAGAGAAATCTGGGATGCCTGGGTGGCTCAGTCAGTTGAGCATCTGACTTCAGCTCAGGTCATGATCTAATGGTTCGGTTCATGGGTTTGAGTCCCACATCAGGCTCTCTGCTGTCAGTGCAGAGCCCACTTGGGATCTTCTGTCTTCCTCTCTCTCTGCCCCTCCTTATCTCTCTGTCTCTCTCTCTGTCTCTCTCTCTCTCATAAATAAATAAACAAACAGACAGACATTTAAAAAAAAAAGAGGAGAGATATCAGGCTTGCAGATAGTCTTCAGGTCTGCCAGCCCAGCCTACATCCACAGTGCCAGAAGAGTTATTTAAAGAGACCTGTAATCAGTCACTGCTGGCTACAGTAATGCTGTGTAACAAACATCCCCATGACCTCAGTGGTTTAACATGACAAGCATTTGCTTTTATTACTCTCAAGTCTCCTGGACAACTGGGCAAGCTCTCCCGCAGGCTGTGAATTGGTTGGATTCAGCCCCAGGACCCAGGGCAGGCTCAAGTCTGCTTCATGTGTGTACATCGTGGGGTGCAGACTATGATGACAGCAGCTCCCCTGGGGCAGTTCCTCTCATGGCAAGTCACAGAAGGCATAAAGGGCAAGTTCAATCACCTAAGTGTTATCTGAAGCCTCTGTTTGTATCACATCTGCTAATATCCTGTGACCAAAGAAAGTCATGTGGCTAAGCCCAAAGTCAGTGGGGAAGCATACTTGAACCCAAGGAAGAAGGTAGGGAGAGATGACTACTTGCTGGAAAATTACATAATTTGTCATAAGGCCCAAGAAACCCTGTTCTTAAGCACTTTGTCCCATGGGGAGGTCAGGTCCAGAGAGAAGATTCTGCAGGGGGAAGTAGGGCCCACATCTCCTGACCCCCAGGGTAATGCCTACTCCAATGTGCCCTTGATTCTCAGAGTCACTGCAAGGCAGCTGGGTGTCACAAGTCACCAACATTAGTGTAGCCCTTGGTTACATTACAAAAGGCAGGCTGTCCGGAGAAGAGGAGGTGAGAGCCCTGCTGTGTTCTTGAGTCGAGCACTCAGTCCTGGATAGGGCATTTGAAGAGGGGCTGGGTCAGCTGGAGTGGATTCCAGATCACAAGCCAGATGAACAACTGGTAAAGGAACTGGGGCAGTTAACTGAGGGAACCGAAAACCCAAAGGGGATATCGGGCCACTATCTTCAGATCTGCCAAAGCTGAAGGAGCTGCAGGCTGTTAGGGAGGGCAGAACTAAAACTCACCAGAGAAGGCTGGTTTTGGTCGAACACAGACGAGGAAGTTCTTACTGCTGTAGGCAGCACTAGCTGGCCGGCCATGGGAAAGCACCATGGGACGAGGGGACTAGGCCTGCCAGGGTGTGACCAGAGGAAGCCCACCAGCACCACCACAGGGACGCCCCCGGCGCATCATACCCCAGACAAATGGCTGGACAGGCCACTTGGGAGCTCCTCCCTGTAAAATGGGGCATCGCGCGTGTTGTAAGCCTAACTTCCTGGCGCATGCTGGCAGCAGCTGAGATCCGGGGAGGCCGATTTCCTGAGTTGGCCCCGTGAGAATGCAGTGCCTGAGGTAGGAGCGGCCGGGACTTGAGGGTTCTGTTTTCATCTTGACAAAACCCAGTCGTTTGTACTCCGATTTCTCCTGGTTGCAGCTTTATGCTGGTGCTTCTTTGCTGGTAAGCCCCTCCCAAGGGCAAGAGACAGTCACTGCTCCCGTAATCCCTCCATGCGGGATCCAACCTGGGAGGGGCTGCTGCCTCATAGGGACTTCAGTGAGGCCAGTGAGGCTCTGCTCCAGTAAACAGCCTGGCAAGAAGCTTGACCTTCGGGAGTGTGTTTCCTCCTGAAGCTGCTGGGAGCTGCTGGTGTAAAGTCTGTGGATGCTCCCCTGAGAAGGAGCCATTTCTCAGAGGCCCCTCCGGCCCTCCTTGGGCTCCCAGGAAATCCCTCCTCTGTCATTTCCCTGGTTTTGTTTCCTTCTGGGGATTTGGAGGAGTGTTCCTTTGTCTCCAACTGTCTTCTCACTAGTGCATTTTCTCACTTGCCAGCCTTTCTTCCTTCCCATCCCTCTTCCATGCGTCTGGTCCACGACCCACCTTATCTTCTAAAAATGCAGGAGCAGTTGTGTGACCGTGAGCCAGCCACCTAACCTCTCTGAACCACCAGGGCTTCATCAGGCAAATGGGGCTGTCTGTGCCCACCCTGCCCTGCCTGCCCCACAGGATTGGCAGTGGTGCTCACACAGAATGTTCAAGCAGGGCACCTGTTCCGCCCACTCTGACCTCAGCCCCTCTCGCTGCTTCCCCACAGGGACTGCATCATGTTGTGTTGCCTGAACAGTGGCACCAGCTTTGTGGCTGGCTTTGCCATCTTCTCAGTCCTGGGCTTCATGGCATACGAGCAGGGGGTGCCCATTGCCGAGGTGGCAGAGTCAGGTAAGTTCGCCAAAGGCGAGGGAGGCCTCGGGTGATTGAAGGTCATAGCACAAGTGTGATCTGCCTCCTCAGCTCATTCTCCTCCTGGGTTCAGGTCTTAGGAGGTGGCCCGCCATCCATCCTCAAACCAGGATCACGGGAGAAAAACCTTGACACCTCCTCATTTCCATATCCAAGACGTCCTCGGGTTGTATAGCTTCTGCCTCCTCAGTGTTGCTCCACTTCATGTACTTTCCCCCAGCTACACTGTCTCCCCACCAGCCCAGACCACTGTCACTGCTCACCTGGATGATCGCAGGAACCTTCCACGGGCCTCCTAGCCTCCACTATTGCCCCTTCTGTTCCATGTGTAGATTGATTTCTTTCAAAATGCAGATCTGAGTATGTCCATCTCTGGTGAAAAGCTCTTCTTTACTTCTCATAGTAGTGGATTCTAAGCATGGCCCCAAGGCCCCGTGTTGCCCAGCCTTTGTAGCCTCACCCCCAACACCATCCCCCCCCCCCGTGCTCATGCTGCCCCACTGCAGTGATCTGCTTTTGCAATGTCACTTGCTCCCTCCCACCACAGGGTCTTTGCACATACCGTTCTCTCTGCTTAGAGAACCTCTCTCCCTTTCCCTCTTTTAGATGTAGAATCACTGAGTGTGACATTCTTAAGTATAGATTGATGTGTTTGTATCAAACACACTACAGGCAGAGTTATTGTTGCTCAGGCGATGACACAAAATGGTGAATTTACATGGTTGTGATTCACAATCTACATGGTGTTTGAATTCTAGGAAAATGTGTGTTAAAAAGTATGAAAATAGTTTGAGTTCTCATGACAAATAGTTAGGTTCTAAACTCAGTTAAGTCTAAATAAGTTTTTCACCTACAAGAATGTGTAGTAGAACAGTTTGTCAAGACCAGCACAGGTTGCTTAGCCTTTCTGGCCTCCGTCTACTCAGTGCAAGTCATGCCCCCATTTATTGTGACCATCCCCAATGTGGGAGCCACATTGCCTCTGTGGAAAATGTTGGTCCACAGTATCCTTTTTTATGTGGCACACATAGTTCAGGAAGCACCCCTCTAACCCACCAGGAAGCACTCCTCTAACCCACCAAGCTGGGCAAGGTGGTGGATATGGACATCAGAGCAGGAATGTGGTTGCAAAGCTTTGCTCCATGACCACTCAGGGTCCACCTTCCTATGGATAATGTATGTCAGAGAGTGAGAGAGAGAGAGAGAGAGAGAGAGAGAGAGAGAGAGACCATCCCTGCTGAAATCAGGATGCCAGAGCTAGCCTAGAGGATATTAATCTGACCAAAGCTCTCACTCATCAAGTGCTTACTCTGTAAAGAAGCTACCCCTGTTTTACAGATAAGGAAGCTGAGGCTCAGAGAGGTGAAGTCACTCAACCAAGATTACACAAGCTGGAAGGGACAGGGCTGGGATTTAATACAGGCCCTCTGGCTCCAGAGCCCATGCTCTGACCATGCCATCCTACTGCCCACTGTGGGCACCTGACCCTTGACCAAACACCCATGCTCCTTCCTGGCATCAAACCACAGACAGCCCTGTAAGGAAAGAGTGTTACCTTCTATATGGGAGCACTGCCCACTCCAAGAATTCATTTCCTCCTCTATAAAATGAATGTCCTAATTTCTGCCTTAGGTGTGCAGTGGGATAAGATATCTGCAGTATTATGTTTTCTCTTTTTATCATTATTTCCATTTTATAGATGGAGTTCAGAGAGGATTCATAGAAAGGAAAAGAGCCAACTAAAAATAAATTTTATTATTTTTTTTTTCTAATTTCAAATTGAAAGCATATTCATGTTAGAAAAATGTGGAAATCTTAACAAAGGAAAAACGCTGCACTCCAAATCAGACAACATTTTGGGTTTTTCCTGTCATGGCATTTTCCATGCCTACATATCCATATGTGTGTTGATGGAAATCAGATCAAATTACCCCTGGTATTCAGTAGACTACATTTCCCCCTTCACAATAAAGCATGAGGAACTTTGTGCCTCAGTAAACAGAGATCTCAATCAAGAGTTTTCATGGCTCTGTGGTATTCCACTGGATGGATGGACCATAATGGATTTACTGTGTCTCGTTTGTCAGGCTCCAGGGTGGTTGTGTTTCGTAGTCTACCTCACGAAATTCTCACAGCACCTCTGCAGGGTAGGCTTTGTCTGGGCTTCCACTCGTGGCTGTGCAGAATAAGCTCTGCACAGCTGCAGGGGGCACTGTTCACATAAACAACCCTAGGTTTTACCATGCCCATTGAGATATGGGCCCCGTACCTCAGAGCCTCAAGTGGTTCACCCAAGGTCACACAGATCATAGGTGTTACAACCTGGCTCTAGCCTTTTCTGGCTCACCTTCCTGTGCTGCTCCTGGTATCCAGCCGGTAAATCTGCTCTGTGCCCTTGGTTGGGTATATGGGTCAGGCTAAGATTCTCCTTGGGAACATCTGCCATATGGAGAACTTGCAAGTTTTAAGTGAGTGTGTGGCCACCTCACCTTGCTCGGAAGGACCTGGGCTTGCTTTCTGATGAGTGATTTTTGGAAAATACCTAATTAGGTGGCAGAATGCTCAATGGGATGTCCCAGAATACCTGGAAACTGAGCCAGAAAGGCAACGTATACTTCTCACAGGACTCAGATTTTGTCATGCTATGATCCCAAGCCCTTACCCACATGTCCCTTGGTCTGTTTCTGTGATACTTTCTGTGAGATACCCTCTCCTGGAGGTTGAGATTTTAGACAGCTTATAATTGGGTCTTGCTTTTTTATTCAGTCTGATTATCTATGTCTTTTAATTGGAGTATCTGTCTCTTTTCATTTCATAATTATTGATGTGGTTAAGTCCTGAATTCTGTTTTGAGACAGAAAATGTCAGAATGATCATCAGAAGTGGAAAGAGTCAGATGTGTGGTGGCAGGATTAAGTAATATGTTGCTAACTCCAGATAGACTTTAATGAGTTATGGGTGCATATTGTTGGCTAACTGCTTAGAAAATAATAACAGAAGGTAGGGCTACAAAGCTTAAATGAAATACAATTGGACATTTCAAAATATTGATCAGCCCAAAAGAAGGCAATAAAAACACAACAGAGTAAACAAAAAAACAAAACCTCCAAAATTCAGAAGGGACAAAAGTAAAACATATATGAAATGGTAAAATTACACCTAACTATATCAATAATTACATTAAGTGCAAATGAGCCAAATACTCCAAGTAAAAGGCAGAGATTATCAGACTGAGTAAAAGAGCAAGACTCAACTATAAGCTTTCGACAAGAGATGCTTTAAATTTAAAGACACAGATAACGTGTAACACAAAGTGAAAAGATAATACCATGTAAACAACAAGCATAAGAAAAGTGGCTTTGCTATGTTAATATTAGAGTAGACTTCAAGTCAAAGAGTATTACTAGAGATAATGGGGAGCACACTTCATAATGTTTATAAAAGGAGCAGTTCATTTATAAGATAGCTAATCCTTAATGTGTTGGTACCTAATGCCAGGGATTTTAAAAAACATGAAGCAGTGGTGCCTGGGTGGCTCAGTTGGTTGAGTGTATGACTCTTGATTTTGGCTCAGGTCATGATCTCACAGTTCGTGGGTCTGCACCCTGCATCAGGCTCCATGCTGACATGGAGAATCCCTGCCTGGGATTCTCCCTTTCTTTGTGCCCCCCTCCCCATCTCTCAAAATAAATAAACTTTTAAAAATAAAATACATGAAGCAAAAACTGACAAACTAAAAGTAAAAATAGACAAACTCACAATCATAGTGGGAGATTTTAACACCCCTTGTTCATTAATGTTAAAACAACTATACAAAATATTAATAAAGACATAGAGATCTGAATACTGTCAAACAACTTAGCTTAATTGACATCTATAAAACACTGCAAGGAACAACTGCAAAGTACAGTTCTTTTCAAATGAACATGAAATATTCACCAAGATAGGATATAAATTGGGCCATAAATTAAATCTCAATAGCTTTCAAAAGATTGAAATTACAAGGTATATTCTCTGACTACCACTGAATTAAATTATGACTCCATAATGAAAATATACCTAGAAAATCCTTAAGTATGTGTAAATTAAGCAACATGTTTCTAAATTTCCCATGAGCCAAAGAAGACAGTATTTCAAACTGAATGGTAGTGAAAACATATCAAAACTTGTGGGATACAGTTAAAGTACTTACAGGGAAATTTATAGCTTTAAAGCCTAATTAGAAAGAAGGATTTAAATTAAAAAATTAAAGTTTCTATTTGAAGAAGCTGAAAAAAAAGTATAAATTAAAACCAAAGTAAGTATAAACAAAGAAATAATAAAGGGAAGACATACCCACAATAAAATTCCAAAGCCAAATTTGGTATTAAACAACAAAATTTATAATCCCCTAGTAAGACTAATCAAGGAAAAAAAATGAGAGAAAACACAAATTACTAATATCAGGAATGAAAGAAGAGGGACGAAGTTCTACAGACATTAAAAATGAGAATAGGAAATATTATGAACAACTTCAAGCTAATATATTTGATAATGTAGATTAAATGGAAAATTCCTTTAAAAATATAATTTACTCAAAATGACTCAAGAAGAAATAGAAACACTGAATAGCTCTATACTTTTTAGAAGACATTGGATTCATATCAAAAACCTTTCTACCAAGAAAACTTGAAGCCCTGATGGTTTCACTGGTGAAATCTACCGAACATGTAAGAAAAAAGTAATATCAATCTTACATGGGTCTTTTAAAAGTTAGAGTATGTTAGACCTCTGAATATCTGAGGACTATGAGAGCTGTATAGCTACTTGTATCCTAATTTCTTTCCCAAACAAGAAAAAAACAAGAAGGGAAAATATATTTTATACAAAACCATGCCCCTGCGTAACTCAAAGACAGAAAATATTAAAGCTACAGATAACAGTAACAAAAAGAAAAAATACCAATCTCAGTGCATAATCCCTTCTGCTACCACCTGCAC